CACCGCCAATAAAATACTTCTGCACCATCCACCACCACCCCAAAACAACTGAGCCTGACTCTAATCCATACTCTGGACAACCCATGAATCAAAAAGTGAATCACACTGAAAATTAGAAAAATTTATATTTAGAATAATAATAAAAATAATACACATCAAAAGTTATGGAATTAAAAAAAACTTATGGGATAAAGCTAAGCTTAAAGGGAAATCTATAGTGTTAAATGTATACATTAAAAACAAAAAAGGCTGAGAAAAACAAAAAAGGCTGAACATCTAAAAAAGTTTGAGAAAAACTGTTAAGTGTGCAATAGCATTACGTCTTTAAAAATGTACATACCTTAATATTTTAAAATACTTTATTACTAAAAATGCTAACCATCATCTGACAACACAGGGTTGAAACAAACCTTCACTGTGTTAAAAGACACATTATCTGCAAAGCACAAAAAAGCAAAGCACAATAAAACCAGGTATACCTGTACAAAAAAGGAAAAATTATTTGCCAAGCCTCACTTTAATACAGAGATCTCATAAATCCTAAATAAAATATTAGCAAAGCAAATCCAGCAAGGACAATACATTACAATCAAGTTGAGATTATTCCAGTAACACAAGATTTATTTAACACTTGAAAATAAGTCCAACATATTTCATCTTATTAAATAAGAAAATAATGATAATATCATTAGATGCAGAAAAAGTATTTGCTAAGATTCAACATCATTTGTGATTTAAAAAAGAAAAATCCTAGCAATCTACAAATAAGAAGGAAACTTCCTTTATCTGAAAAACAGTATCTATAGTAAACACCTACAGTAAATTTCACACTTAATGGCGACACAGTGAAAGGCATCTTTTTGATACCGAGAACAAGGAAAAGATACCTAGTCTCACCACCTTTACTCAACACTATACTGGAGGTCCTAGATAATGCAGAAAAAAAGAAGACACAAAACACTTAAGAGTTAGAAAAGATGAAATAAAACTGCCATTATTCATAAATAATAGAATTATGCACACAGAAAATTCAAAAGGACCTACAGAGGACTTGTTAGAATTAATGAGTTTATTAAGATAGCTAGGTATAAACCCAATATACAAAAATTAATTGCATTTCTATATACCAGTAATAATTATAAAATGATACCATTCATATCATTTTCGACATCAAAAATATCAAATACCTAGGCATGAATCTAACAAAAGATATTTAGGACCTCTAGAAAAAAATTATAAAACCTTACTGAGAGAAGTAAAAAGATCTAAATTAAAGACTATATCATGTTCATAGATGAGAAGACTCAACTGTAAAGACGTCAATTCTCCCAAAAATCTATAGAGTCAATGAAATATCAATCAAAATCACAAGAGGGGCTTCCCTGGTGGCGCAGTGCTTGAGAGTCCGCCTGCCGATGCAGGAGACGCGGGTTCGTGCCCCGTTTCGGGAAGATCCCACATGCCGCGGAGCGGCTGGGCCCGTGAGCCATGGCCACTGAGCCTGCGCGTCCGGAGCCTGTGCTCCGCAAATGGGAGAGGCCACAACAGTGAGAGGCCCGCATAACGCAAGAAAAAAAAAAAAAAAAAATCACAAGAGGTTTTCTGTTTGTTTTATAAAATTTATTATGCTCATCCTAAAATTTATATGGAAATACAAAGGGCCAAAAATAGATAGGATAATCTTAAAGAAGGAAAACAGGATGAGAAGACTTGCTCTACCAGATATCAAGACAGTTTAAAAGCTATAGCAACGAAGGTGACATTACTACAAGGAAAGACCAATGGACTAGAGAAAAGAATCCAGAAACAGAGCCACACTAGTATGGACATTTGATTTTGACAAAGGTGGCAATAAAGAGCAATGGAGAAACAAGAGGCTTTTCAACAAATTGTGCTGGACAACTGGATATCCATGCAGAAAAAGTGAAACCTGACCTCTTCCTCAAACCATACCTAAAAACTATTCCATGTAGGTTTTAGATCTAAATGTGGAAGACAAAAAATTAAATGTCCAGATTTTAGACCAGAGGTTCTGAGGTCTTCTGACCCAAGGCACCTGCAGATAGAATTCAAGATATAAAAAATATTTCTGATACCTCAACTGTATCCTCTCATGCCTTAGTATTTTAGTGAGCCAGTTCCAGTTGACAGCAGCCACATATCTTTGCCTGAGTTTTCCAGGAATTTTTTGTAAGTGCTGAGAATTAATGCTCTGCTCTCACCAGCCTTCAACCCATGTGTGTATGTGTGATGTGTCTGAAGAACAAGTGTGAGGAACATAATGTTGTGAGGACCACTAACTCCCAGAGTTAGCCAGAGATTTAATCTTGTTAATCACCTGCATGATAATACACTCTTTTTTAAGCACCTTCACTTCCCTGCCTCAAATCCAGTATATTTTTTTGTGAGCATTGCCCATATTAATTACTTGAACTCGAATGCTTGTCTGGGGGTCTGCTTCTTGAGAAACCAAGAAAACCAAGACCCAGAGTTACAATGAACTTGAGTAGGGGAAAAAAATTACTTCTCTATTTTTGTAACTGCTAATTGAAGGAAATGCTAAATTTCAGTTATGAATATAAACATACCAAAATGATGTTAGCAGTACTTGTGACTTTGTCTCTAACAGAAATCACAGCTGCTGCAGATACCTCCAAATATTTTTTACACTCCTCACTACATTGAAACCGTTATTTATTAGTTTACTGCTAAACCGCACATGATTGCAGTCTTTCTGTCTATAATGTTATACAGTCTTCCTGTCTATAATGTCATCAACTATTGAGTAACTACCTACCTCTGTGCCAAGTAATTGTTCAACCACAAAACAGTTGAGTGTTCTACAACTAAAGATTAACTCAAAAAGCCTTGGGTGAATTCTGATGTTCTCGGAAAACCTATCCTTGCCTTGTAAAGTATAATATGGAAATTTTGATTCATACACAACAACTAAATACAATTAAACTTTAACCTGTGATTTTTTAATGTAATCTTTTCTTACTGAATACATTAACTAAGAAGTACATAATTGATATCGTCACAAATTAATTTTTTAATATCTTGAAGGTATATTTCAATAACTATACGGTATCATTTTTATAAGTTCAAAACTATTCAAAAATAAAAATTATATTCTTTGGGAATTTACACCTGTGAAACTATTTTTTTTTAAAAGCAATGAAATCAAACATAAAATTCAGGATTCCGGTTGCATAGGTGGGAGGGGAATGAGGAGATGCAAGAGGAAAATAGTAACCCATTAGTTTTATGTCCTTTGTCTCAACTGGGTAGCAGGTACATACATGTGCATTTGTTTAATTATTACTGTATATATAAGTTTTATATATATTCATTTTATACTTAGGAAATATTATGTATTTAAAAAGGAGCATTCATAGAATCAGAAAAAAATTCTTGAAAATCAAAAATGTGATAGCAGGAAAAAATTATTTCTGAGTTAAAGCTGAACACCCCACCCAAAATTTAAACAAGACAAAAAACAAAAAAAAATCAAGAGGGGGGAAAAAAACAAGAAAATTAGAGGATCAGTATAGAAGGATCCACATCTGAGTAAGGGGAGATTCAGAAAGAGAGAAAAGAGAACACGAAAGGAAGGAAATAACACAAAAGGAATAATATAAAATAATGCCCCTGAACTGAAGGACATGAGTTTTCAGACTGAATAGGCGCATCAGACTGCCTGCACAAAAAACGTCTTTATTCCTTAGAGATACATACTAAAATATTTATAGATGACTGACTCATACCAGGATATATTGAAATTTTAGAACACTGGGATAAGGGGAACATTCTTAAAACCTCTAAAAGCTAGAGCTGGGAGAGCATGGTCATAATGGCACTATACCTGTCAAATAGCAACACTGGAAGCTGGAAGGCAACAGAAGCATGATTTTTAAAATTCTGAAGGAAAACTAGTTCCAACCCAATGCTATGCCCAATCAAATAATGCATAACAAAGAAGAAAGAACTGTTCAGACTTGCAAGGCCTCAATAATGTTTTTTTCCCATTCATCTTTTCTCAGGAACCTACTGGAGGATATCTCCATCAAAACAAGGAAAGAAGATGATAAATGATGTGAAGTAACAGGGAATTTAACAAAGGAGATGGGCAAAGAGAATCTCCTGAGGTTGGTAAAAGAAAATCCTGATACGAGAGCTCTACTATTTTAGACTCAGAGAACAACTAAGCCAGATTGGAGCAAAGAGAACAGACATTTCCAGGATACCTCCTGCGTGGGATTATACTGAGAGACGATCCAAAGAATGTCAGAGGTGTGGGGGATGAATTAGTATATAGAAAACGAAGCAAACAGTAAAACAAAGTAATTACTAACGCCAAAGTAATTATTCCATGAAAAATCTTTTACACACTCTTAATAATGTGAATAATAAATAGTGATTTTCCCAAATATTATGAGATGCTTATATCAGAAAGACAGGAGGAAGGGAAGTGAATATGTGTATATGCTAAGTGGAGATGAGGTTGGGACATCAGCTAGAGAACTAAAGTCTCAGCCTCCATAGTAGCAAGGCCAGAAATTATACATAAAACCAAAAGGAAAAGAAATAAAAAAATTTTTAAATCGGAGCATAATCAAGTTACTAAAGAATATGTAAAGAAATACTAAACTATGCAATTTTATGAATCACTGCCTCTAGGACACAGGAATTAAGAGTTAGAAGAAGGGAGTGCATCTTTTCATTGTAAATCTACTATAATATTTTACTTTTCAAATTATGTACATATGCTATTTTTTAAACCTAAAAATTAATTTTAAAAACCATAAATTTTCACGAGGGTCAAATAAGAATAAAAATAATAGCCATTATTTCCCAAATGCCAACTACCTATGGGAAACATAGCAGATCTTTTACAAAAACTATCACTATTCCTCAGGCCATCTTTGTAATGTAGAATTATCCTAATTTTACAGAGGAAAAAACTGAAAATGAGAATGAACATTTGTTTGGTCCTTTACCTTTCCAGCAGTAGCAAAATATTCACCATCAGGGGACCACTCCATCAAATGTACAGATACTGAGGTTCTAAAAAAACAAAATTGAACAGTTAGCATTTTAAAAATCTGGAACACTATATATATAAATGGTCAAAATTTTAAAAAATATTTTAAAAATTAAAAAAAAAAGATTTTCATAACATTATCAAAACAAGAGTGTTTTCACCTCTCTAAAAATAAATCTAAATATTTCACCTCCCTAAAAATACAAATTAATTCATTAAAGTTAATCCAAAGCTCACTCTGAGGAGCCAAAAAAGAATGCAATTAACATGCGTAAATGATATCGCAACCTACATGCCCCACCAACACCCTAATGTAACATTTTGAAAACAGCTCATCATCTTCCCTGGCTAGTTGGATCCCTTCACATACTCCATAATGTTAATGGATCCCTTCACATAATCCTTCCACCTGAAAGAGGGTCTCACAACTTTCACATCTTCCCTCTCTCCCTATCCCCTATATCTCACGCATTAATGAATAATTCCTACATATCAACCTTCTCAACACAAGTCCTGAGGTTATTAACTATGAAAATACTTTCATCCTTTTTTAAAACAATCAATTGTAGCACAGATTAAAGGATGATGTTATAATGGATTTTGGTTAGAAAAAGTCTATTTTTCTAGGCTTCTAAGAACATATCTCAGGAAGCATTTTTTTAATTAATGAACATAACAGAGTTAGACACTAACTTGCACTGCCAGATGCACTTCCAATCATTTAAAACAGGAGGAATTTTATTATCGATTTCTTCCTCCTCTTCCAGAATGTCACCCCCTGGAGGAGCCCACAACTGAATAGAATCAGTTGCTGTCAACAATCTGTTATCTGAAAATTAAAGAATGTTCAGATGAATAAGCAAGGATTATCTAGAGAAATAAACGCACATGTGGGCTTCTGCTTAGGTCTATAAACTATTCTGTGAAAAATAAGCAATACTGTCTGAAAAACACTTGTGGAGTATATCCATTTAAAAGTTAGAATCCACTGACAAGAAAACTTGAGGGAAATTTGAGAACAAAAAAGAAAAGCCTCCTGACAAAGAGCTATTGTCTATCAGGTAAAACTTTAAAAAAAAAAAAAAAAAAACAGAAGTAGAATAACAAAACAAACCCCAACACAGAATATCCAACACAGAATATATCCAACACAGAATATTCTCAGGATATAAGACATAACTAAGGATTAATGAAATTTGTTTTTCTACATGGCCTATTAAAATTACCCTCACTAGTTGTGAATGTAAAAAGGGACAACAGCCATTATCATTAAAAGTTTCTAAACTTTCAATATTAAAGACAGTAATTTCCCGAAATACAAATAACAAAGTGAGATAGGGTTTTTCTGATCTTGTTTTATTTCTGATTTTATTTCTTAATAAACACAGTAAGAGTAAAGTGCAGCACATTAATTAATGAAAGAAATCATCATTGTTTCTTGGAACAAAACATTCAAAAGTAGCGGGGGAAAGCACAGAACAGTAAATTAAGCATTGTACAAAGCAGTGTATATGAAAAAGAAAAAAGTATACTCATTCACTAGCAAAAAGCGAATACTACTGATCATTTTCTTATTATGGGAGACTATATCACATTGTAATCATACACTTAAAACAAATATTAACTTTTCATAATTTCTAAAGATAATTGCTAAATACCTTGAGGGTCCCATGCTAAATTGTATGTCACGGAACTCAAAAAAAACTGCCCAGTTTTAAGCCACTGACACTTGAGTTGCTGAAACATAGAGAGAGAAAGAAAAAAGAGAAAGATATGCTTTCAAAGTAATATCCACAAGCACTACCATATTATCATTTTCTTCAACTGAAGACTATGATCTGAAACAAAGATGTAAATATTTCACTATTATTTTCAAAATACTGTTTTTAAAATAATTTCCAATGATTCTGCTTACTATTCTACAATAGCAGGCTGTTTGCCACGTCCAAACAAAGCATGTCTCCCAGGCTTCCTTCCATGTCTATAAACACAATCTTTTTTTTTTTTTTTTTGGCTGCACGGGGTCTTCATTGCGGCATGCGGGATCTTCAATGAGGCATGTAAGCTTCTTAGTTGTGGCATGCAAACTCTTAGTTGCGGCATGCATGCAGGATCTAGTTCCCCGAGGAGGGATGGAACCCAAGCCCCCTGCACTGGGAGCACAGAGTCTTCCCCACTGGACCACCAGGGGAGTCCCCTATAAACACATTCTTATTCTTAGGGTATCCCTCCCTCTCTTTTCCACCTACAAACTCCTATGGTTACATCAGGATCTAGCTAAATCATCACCTCTGCAGTGAAGCCTCTTCTGACATCCTGGCAGCACTCAGAGCACCTTTTACTTACATTCTACCATTATAACACTGGTCACACTGAATTATTTGTTTATATATCTGACTCTCCTATTAAACTGCAACTCTTCAAGGGCAGGAATTATGTCACAATGAGCTTTGTGTATTCAGTGTTGTAATGACTGGTACACAGATGCTCAATAAATGTTTATAAAAACAAAGTAAACGCACATTAGAAAGACGAACAAATTAACACAATCCTATGGAGTCAATGTCTAAAATAAAACTACATATACCTTCCAAAAAGCCAACAAATTTGAACCACATAATATATAAAACCCACAAACCTGACCTATATTTGAATAATTTCCATTCTATTTTCTTACTGTTTCCATTCTAAAGTGTAGAAAGATTTAAAATTTAAAAGTCGCAGCTTTCCCGTGAAATACAGTAAGTAAAAAAGTTTAGATATCTCTTTTCAGTAGACAAACATAAAATGTCCTTTTGTAGGCTTCCCTGGTGGCTCAGTGGTTGAGAGTCCGCCTGCCGATGCAGGGGACACGGGTTCGTGCCCTGGTCCGGGAAGATCCCACATGCCGCAGAGTGACTAGGCCCGTGAGCCATGGCCGCTGAGCCTGCGCGTCCGGAGCCTGTGCTCCGCAACGGGAGAGGCCACAACAGTGAGAGGCCCGTGTACCGCCCAAAAAAAAAAAAAAAAAAAAAGTCCTTTTGTGAAAGCATAGTGCAATATAAAGCTATGTCAAGGCTTTTTATAAGCAAGTTATACATTAATTGCTTGGCAAATAATAATTTAATAAATGGCAATGCCCTCTCTTATTATAATACTTTAAAAATATTTCACAATAAAATAATTTATTCAAGTTTCATGACTATCTTGAGGTGGAATTTTCAAATACAACTACCAAACCTGAATTTCAGTATCCAAAAGTAATTTTATATTTATTAATCAGGGAAAAAGTTATTTTTTAAACCCTATCACTGCTGACCCAACAACAGTCACAACAGTATTTTAAATACTGCTCAACAGAACTATTTACAGTAATAATAAAATCATTCCTAAAACTAGAGCTATCCCTAACATTCTTTCCATTAGTGCTTCTCAGAGTGTAATCTGTGGACCAATTACACTGCAGAAATTTGGGGAGTGAGGTCTGGAATCTGATTTTTTTTTCCATTTTTTTTAATTTAATTTTTATTTTATATTGGAGTATAGTTATTTACAATGCTGTGTTAGTTTCCGGTGTACAACAAAGTGAATCAGTTATACATACACATACATCTATTCTTTTTCAGATTTTTTCCCCATATACGTTATTACAGAGTATTGAGTAGAGTTCCCTGGGCTATGTAGTAGGTCCTTGTTGATTATCTACTTTATATATAGTGGCGTGTATATGTTAATCCCAAACTCCTCATTTATCCCTCCCACACCGCCCCCCCGCACCTTTCCCCTTTGGTAATCATAAGTTTGTTTGCAAAGTCTGTAAATCTGTTTCTGTTTTGTAAATAAGTTCACTTATATCATTTATTTATGGAATCTGATTTTTTTTCTATAAATTTATTTATTTTATTTATTTAGTTTTGGCTGCATTGGGTCTTCATTACTGCACATAGGCTTTCTCTATTTGTGGCGAGTTGGGGCTACTCTTCGTTGCGGTGTGAGGGCTTCTCATTGAGGTGGCTGCTCTTGTTGCGCAGCATGGGCTCCAGGCACGCAGGCTTCAGTAGTTGTGGCTCGTGGGCTCTAGATCACAGCCTCGGTAGTTGTGGCGCACAGCCTCTAGAGCACAGGCTCAGTAGTTGTGGCGCACGGGGCTTAGTTGCTCTGCGGCATGTGGGATCTTCCCGGATCAAGGCTCGAACCCATGTCCCCTGCATTGTCAGGCAGATTCTTAACCACTGTGCCTCCAGGTAAGACCCTGAATTTTTAAATATGTACTCTCGATGACTCTTAAGTACTGTGAAAAAAATTTTTTTTTGCGGTACGCGGGCCTCTCACTGTTGTGGCCTCTCCCATTGCGGAGCACAGGCTCTGGACGCGCAGGCTCAGCGGCCATGGCTCACAGGCCCAGCCGCTCCACAGCATGTGGGATCTTCCCGGACCGGGGCACGAACCCGTGTCCCCTGCATCGGCAGGCGGACTCTCAACCACTGCGCCACCAGGGAAGCCCAGTACTCTGAAAATTTAATATGCATTTCATAATATTATCATAGGGAAGAGACTATGATATAATTTGTACTTCTGGGGGGAAATGTAAAAAAAATATTCATATACATACATGTAATGAAAAATATCAAAACCACTTATTTACTGCAATTAAGAATACAATTTTTTTTTAATTACTGGTAAATATGTCAAGAGGTGAAATCTTGGAGTTCAGATTTCACACTGGCAGTTTTAACTATTTGTGAGTGATGGTGGAGTTCTAATGCATGTAGTAATTTTAAAATTAAAAAATTTTTCTAACCATATTGGATTTTCTGAATATTAAGTAAGACAAAATATAATTCAGCACCCAGTGCGTTTACCTAAGCTCCTAACTCTTTCATTCAAATATTTAGAAGTACCTGTTATGTTCCAGATACTGTTCTAAGTACTTGAGATGCATCAATGAACAAAAGAAACAAAGCTCCCTACCCTCATGGAGCTTACATTCTAAATAGTAATCTATAAATAAATAAACAAGATAAGTGCTCTATTGAAAAAGGTTTAAAAATAGAAGGATAGGCAGGTTAGAAGGAAAGTGGGAGAACCAAGTGGCAATTTTTAAAAGGGTGTTCAAGGGACTTCCCTGGTGGTCCAGAGGTAAAGAATCCGCCTTCCAATGCAGGCGACGCAGATTTGATCCCTGGACGGGGAACTAACATCCCACATGCCTCAGGGCAACTTAACCCGCCTGCCCCAAAGAGAGAGCCAGCGTGCCGAAACCTACAGAGCCTGCCCGCGCACCCCAACTGGAGAGAGAAAACTCGTACACCACAACTAGAGAGAAGCCCTCATGCCACAAATACAGAGAAACCTGAGCAGACCGCACACCATAACAAAAAGATCCCGCATGCCTCAACAAAGATCCCGTGTGCCGCAACTAAGACCCGACACAGCCAAAAAAAAAAATTAAGGAAAATAATTATTTTTTTAAAAAAAGGGAAGGGTGGTCAAGGCACATCTCATTGAGAAGGTATTACTAAGCAAAAACTTAAAGGATCTGTAGGAACTGGCCCTGGAGCTATCTAGAGAAAGAAGGACATTCCAGACAAAAGAACAACCAATGCAAAGGCTCAAAGATGAGAGGGTAACTATCCAAAGAACAGTGAAAATGTCAGTGTGGCTGGAGTGACCAGAGAGGACAAGAATAGTAGATGAGCTCTGAGAGGTAATAAATGGGTGCAGGTGTGGGGGAAAGGCGGGGGTGGAGGAAGAAGGGCTGTAGTCCATTCTAAGGCTTTTTGGCTTTAAATGTGAGAGACGTATGGAGCCATTAGAGTTTTTAGCAGAGAAGTGTCATGATCTACTCTGCTGAGAACAGAGAAAGGGCAAGGGGATAGATATTAGACAGGAGACTTGTCTAGTAATCTAGATAAGAAACAACAGGAGTTCACCTGGGGTAGGTCCCAATTAACAAGGCAAATCTCAATAAGCAATATTCTAGGAAACTGATTTTCTAAAAGGCCTAGGGATATATTCCTAGTGAATGTAAAAGATCTTACCATAAAGCACCAGACAAACTTCACACTGATATTCCAGACCACCTTCAGCACCAGCTCCTAAGGAGCTCTTTATTGCTGTCAACTGGATTCCAAACTCAATTATAAAACTTTTCTACCATTTAATACTTACACAATTTCTCTTATGAGAATTTATGCCCAAGGGCTCAAAAATACAAACAGCATTACCATATGAAGCTGCAACCTAAAAAAGAATGAACAAAGCATTAATATTTAAGGAAAAGAGAAAATAAAGGTAACTTCCTTTTCACAATAATATATAAACTATTTACATACAATCCCAATACAGTATTTATGGTTTATTCCCTTCCATAAATATAACCGGAAAAGTACTGGACTTAAGAATCTCTTCCCTTATCAAAAATTCAGCAGGCTTTATTTTCCACATCAAATACAAGGTTGACCTATTCAAAGAAATCATCCTTTCCTATAAAACTTTCATTTTTAAATACAGAAATAACTTTTATTAACGAAGACACATTTCAATGGTACATCTGTCAGAAATTTTACAATCCAGTGAAAATAATATAAAAACCATGAGAAGTAGAAAAAGACATCAAAGAGCAACAGGTTTTAAAAATATATCAAATAAAATGCCATTAACTATACCATCAAACAAAAAATACCAATTGGGAACACCATGTAGAAGGAGGAATAGAGAAAATGGACTAAGGAGAAACCAGAGAGACATCCACTGCAACTGGAGGAGAAACAGCTGATATAGACATCTCTAGTGGACTTAAGCTAGGAGTTTGGGGGCCAAGAGGACTTTGCTCCACGTCACATACCTGATGAGAAGAAACATAAATTCCTCTGTTCCTAGGAGCTTACCAGAGCCTGTTTTCCAATAATTCCTTGAAAGCCAGTTCCCAGTTTATCTTCCTCTTGGCAAGAGGGAAACAACTACAGGGAACACACCAAAAACCATCTCTTCTCACACCTCTAGGTCTATGGGTTAACCTATAAAGCTAACTTAGGTATACATGTTTTTAAGGCAAGCCGAAAAGGTCTACTGTGATTTCAGGGCACTCTAATGCAAAAGAAGTGATTTTATTTATTTATTTATTTATTTATTTATTTATTTATTTATTTTTAGTATCTATAGTCACTCAGAGCGTATGTATTTATTTATTTATTTTTAAATATTTATTTATTTATTTTAGCTGTGCCAGGTCTTAGTTGCACCACACAGGATCTTCGTTGAGGCATATTTAGTTGCAGCATGCAGGATCCTTAGTTACAGTATGTGGACTTCTTAGTTGCGGCACACATGTGATGTGGGATCTAGTTCCCCAAACAGGGATCAAACCCAGAACCCCTACACTGGGAACGCGGAGTCTTACCCATTGGACCATCAGGGAAGTCCCCAAAAAAGTGATTTTAATTGTTATTTAATATCTAACTTTCTTTCCAAGAAAAAGCTGTACTCCACAATGGTAGGGGGAGAGCTACTTAAAATGCCTGGCCACGGTAACACTTAGGTAAAAAGTGTTATAAATGATCACATTCAACATGTCAATGAATGAATGAACGAATGATTATAACTGGTTAATACAAAGTCATAAATTCGAAAGTAATCATCACAAGGACTGGGGATAAATGAAATAAAAGAAGATGGCAATAAAAGACAATGAATCAGAGATGTCACAATTTGGGCTTCTTTACCTTCAACCAGGTTAGAAAAAGTAAAAACATGGTTATGAAAACCAAGGGCTTCTACATTTAAAAAAAAATGAAAACAAAAACAAAAATTTTGCTCCCAGAGTATCTGTTTATTGTGATCATCACCAGCACATAAATAATTTTTTTAAATGCATCTCTGACAACTATCGTAACAACTATAAGCAGGTTTAAAGCTACCATGCTTGGAATAGGGAGATGAGCAATGAAAAATTAATGAGAGAAATCTGACACTCTGAGTGTTTTCTAAAGAGTAAGCAATACTTAGGGAGAACGACTGGGGAAAAAATTCAGAAAAGCAAGAAACAAGCATCAGAAAACACCAGAAAATTCAGTGTTTCAATACTATGTCAATTTTATCATTGGATTGTCATATAGTGGCACATTTACCCAAATATTAAAGCTTAATACAAACAGCAGGGTAGGACAGTAGAAATGATATAATATCACAATTTATTATTTGGCATAAATTTGCATGATTACTATATATTACCATGAATATTCCGATTTAACATATCCTTGATAAAATTTATTATTACTTAGTAAAGAACAATTTTTAGAACACTAAAACTGTTTAAATTATTACAATTATTACAGGAAAAATATCATTCCTATATTCCCATAGAAACGTTTAACTCTGCTACACAACATTGGCCTTAATGAATTGCTAGAATATACAGCAAATATGCTATATTTACTTTACATATAATCAAAATTTGATGTATATTATGTGTGAAATTTGGGGGGAGAGGAACATATGATGAAACTTGAATTATTTTAAAATAAATCCTCTGTTTAAAGTCTGAGTGAATGAACTTTAACATTCTTCAAACAACAAATAAAGTTTCATTAACAGAAACTTTACAAAGCATCAGTTACATGACAAATATTATATTAGATGCTAACAACTTGCTACATTTCTTGATAAAAATTTGATGTTATTATAATTTGGGAGAGATAAGGTATGCTAGATATAGAAGATAAAAGTTTACTTCCTTGCTACTGGCTTAATAGCTGCTAGAACTATCAACTGGCAGAATATTAGTACACACAGGAATATGAAGCCTACAAATCTTTTAAGACAGTATATACAGGTAGAACAATTAATTATCACTTATCAGCTTAATGGCTCTTTAAAATTTGTACATAACCTATCATTTTACCCACTCCTATTAACATCCATCTAAGCAAGGTATAATACATAATTAGAAATTGTGGGCAAGCCTTATATAAAAGCATAAGAATACTCTCTGAGATTGTTAAATACATTAAAAGATGACATTTAATAAAGTAAATAAATCCCTTACTCTTCCATGTTGGTTAGAACACTCCACACAGCTGACTTGGATGTTTCCATGCTTAGCACCAGGAATGATCTGCACACATTCAAAGTCATTTGCCAAAATAACAATATCACAGCCCGATCCATATGCCTAAAAAGAAAAGTTTTACATTATGTAAGATATGTAATTTGTGAATTATTTTAGTTTATCTTAGTTTTTGCTGCTATTGCAAAGGATACTGTGACACATTTTACAAAAATAGTTAATGTAAGAATATTAAAAATGTCAATTTCCAAATCAGAACATTAAAAGTCACACCAAAAACATGGGGTGATGACACACCATGCATTATCATTCAACAACTGCTACTAACAGGAAAAGGGTTCTTCCAGGTCTTAAACACTATAGCCTCCATCCCTCATAAATCTTTTGGTTTAGAATTTCTCTCTGAAGCTCATCTCAGTAAACCCTAAAGAATAAAACCTCCATCTGAAAGTAATGAGGTATTGAAGGCTGCAATTGCATTCCCAGGGTTCAAACCAGGCTGGAGGAAGATCAAGATAGAAATCAGATGCATTTTCCAACACAATTCCACATGGCTTAAAGAGCTAGTTAAATAGACATGAACCCCTGAGGCAGAATTACATGCACTAAGGCAAACACTAAACAAACTCAACTGCCGAAGTGAATCCATGATGAAGCCAGCCTGCCTGCCCCCTCCCCTCAACCTTACCGGCAGGAGAGAAACACAGAGAGACAGAGAGAGAGGACACCAATCGAAAGTAGTTAGACACACACACACACACACACGCTAAACAAAATAAAAAATAAACTGATTTATATAAAATGTGACAAGTATTTGGTCTGGAAAATAAAATAAAACACAAAGTCAAGTTCCTGGAAAATTCCCTTGTTCAAAAGAACAATAATGAGCAAAACTGCATATTTCTTCCTATTGCCACACTTCTTGGTGTATGCTATTCCTGTTTTGCAACTTTGTGAATTTTATGATGACATAAGGGCCAGAGGGTGGGGACATTTTTCTTTTTCTTCCAAACTCAACTTATGATTAAATATTTAAAACAACCTAACAATGTAATTCTCAAATGAAAATGCCCCATAAAGAGAAACATAAAGTTTATGAGGTGGTATTTTTTTCCCACTATTTCTACAGCCTTAAGCAATATGGTCATGTCCTACAAAATACAGATATCCAGTAGCCAGGGCTGACATGTGATGACAGCTAAGCCAGTGAGGTCCACATACGGCTGGTAATGAAAGAGGGAACTGAAGATAAAGACCAGAGAGGAAGACAGACACTACTTCTACTGATCACTGAAACTTCCAGGGTTGCCAAAGTCCTGCTTTAACTACTATAAACTATCTTCAACTCATGTGTTTGCATATACCAGAAAGTTCCCCAAATGAAAAACAAAGATGGAATTTTAAACAAAGGAACTATGGGGGAAAAAATCACTCCCAGGAGGAAATAACCACTTATACTCTCATACACAAAGCAGATTTGCTATGCTATGCATTCAAGAAAGGTAAACTGAATGGGAATCCTGAGTATAGGTAGAAGAAATGTTTGTGTCACTATGCTACCCTTTACACTTATATTATAACAAAAATAATCTTACCCTTAAACATTTCACAATTTCCAAAGTACTTTATAGCATTATCTCAGCAAAGCAGATTGATGGTAAGAGCAAAACTTTACCTAGTTTGGAATCACCACACGCAGGGTTTTCAGTGTTGGTTCTGCAGTACTACAGGATCTTAAGCAAGTTACTTAAGCTCTCTGAGCATTTCCTTGTGGTAGAATGGAAGAAATAATACTTATTTCTTAGGATAGAAAATCTTTCCATAGTGCTTAGCACACGTCACTCATTAAAGACACAAAACAGTGCATGATGTCCCAAGTCTGGGCTAGCAACTGGGAATACAAAAACACAAGATGTGGTCCCAGTGAGTCTATTGGGGAGACAACCAAGTCAATCACCAATCACAACTAAATGACAAACTGCCGTGACAGAGAGAGATATCTGTAAGTTACCAGCAAAGACAAAAGGTACACAATGAATGTTAAATTGGGACTTCCCTGGTGACGCAGTGGTTAAGAATCCGCCCGCCTATGCAGGGGACACGGGTTCGAGGCCTGGTCCAGGAAGATCCCACATGCCGCGGGGCAACTAAGCCCGTGCACCACAACTACTGAGCCTGCGTTCTAGAGCCCACGAGCCACAACTACTGAGCTCATGCACTGCAACTACTGAAGCACATGTGCTGCAACTACTGAAGCCCATGCGCCTAGAGCCCGTGCTCTGCAACAAGAGAAGCCACCGCAATGAGAAGCCCGTGCACCGGAACCAAGAGTAGCCCCCGCTCGCCGTAACTAGAGAAAGCCCGCGCGCAGCGATGAAGACCCAAAGCAGCAAATAAATAAATAAATAAATAAACATTAAATCACTCCCCCTTTCATCTTTGCAACAAACCTGAGAGGAAGAGAGTATCATTATCATTATATAAAGAAAGATTCAAGTTCATTTATTTGCCCAAGATTATACAGTTAGTAAATGGAAAATGTTCAAACTCAGGTCCTTACAATTCTTATGTTCTTTTCCCCTACATTACATGTCAAAGAGACATAAAATATTTCAGATAAGTATTAGCACACTTGCTTCTCTAAAGATGGGCCATCCCCAGCAACAGCTGCTCTAGACATAGGCTCTTACTGCTCAGTCACTGAAGAGGATTTTTACTCCTCCCTAGATAGCCATAATTGCCTGACCTTTGCCAGAAGACATGTACCATGCTCCTTAGAAGTAGAGAATCTTGCCATTTTTCTGAAATGCAATAGTTCTCAAACCTGGCTGCATCAAAATCACCTAGGGAACTTGTTAAAAATACAAATTGAGTGGTCCCACCCCAGACTTACTAAATCAGAATTGTCATGGATAAAAGAATTTGGCAATATCTATCAAAATTTTAAATACAATATACCCTTTGATTGACAAGTCCCTATTTTACTATAAGCATACTAGCAAAGCTTGCCAAAATATATAGAGAAGGATATTCACTGCCTCATTATTTTAAGCAGCAAAAACTGAAAATAATCATACCAACTATCAGTAGGGAAGTGGTTAAATAAGTTACTGAATATCCATCAAGTAGAATACTATGCAGTTACCAAAAGTTTAGAGACCACTGGTCTAAAATGGTCTCAAATCCCTTATCAAACTAGTAATTACCATCGTAACAGAACAATCATGTGTGGCACTAGCGTCCTGTGGAACACTAGGCAATACCTACTCTTTTATATAATATTCATGGTCATGGCTACAATGGAACCCCGTAAACTACTGCACACAAAGAGCTGGAAAAGTACAGAAGTTGAATATTATTATTCTTCACGTTTCTCTAAAGAGTCTAAAATACACATAACCCCAAGTGTGCAAGAACAGGAGACTCATAATCAGTCAGTACTGAATCACACGCATTCTATAACTGAAGGCGCATAAGATTTTAATGATTTATATACATGTGTGTTTGTTTGTCTGGTTCCTACTACACTGAGAGGTCCATCAGAGCAAGGACCATGTTCTTGTTTACCACTGTAGTCCTAGCACCCAGCATGTGCACAGCCCTCAACAGATACAGATATCTGTATAACAAATAAATGATTCAAAATCTTCCTAATTCCTGGCTTGTCTGTGTACCTGGAAACTTGGTCAAAGAACATGGGTTTCAGACAGTTGATATAAGCTAATAATTTGGCCAAGTTTATGATGGTAGCTATACAAGGAAATAGAAAGATATTTTGGCTTATTTTCCACTCTAAGAGCATCATGGATTTAGAAGACCAGAAGAGAATCTATCAAAGCCTTCCTTAATAATTTACCATTTATTGAATACCTTCTATGATCAGGCAGTCTGCTAGGGTCTTTACGAATATCATATCTTCACAGGCCCCCTTGTAAAGGTGGAGAAACTGAGGTCCAGAAAGGATAAGTAACTCGCCCAAGTTCACAGAGTGAGGATTCATTTGCTTCATAGTAAAGCTCCTGCTCTTTCCATTGCATCACCCCAACTCCACTAAGATGCCTTATAAGCACTAAAAGGCCCATGTTCATACTTGTAATCCCAAGTATAATTTCCCACAGCATCTAGCTCAGAGTAAAGACCAGCAGCTGAGAAGGTTTATACAAAATCTATAATTACTCAAGAGATTTCCACTCTTTCAATTTTAGGTCAAAAGCAATTTGTTTCATTCCTCTTTTTCAGAATTCAGTTTTCCCAGAGGAAAAATTTATAGTGCAGAAGGAAAAGCAGGCGCTCACTGAGACTACAAGCAAATACTAAAATGACCCCAGAGAGTACAGGATATGGGCTTCTTTGTACTAGATAAATAAATATCTCTGACTCGGCTGAGTATAAACTAACTATTCCACATGTGGTAGAGAGGCTACAGGATCACTACAGGGAAGCAGGAAAAAGGGCACTAAGCCCTTTCTGGAACAAATGGAATCCCTTAACCAAGTTCTTCCCTTGGGTTCCTGGGAGAACCACCCCTATGCCATAGCACCATACACCAGTGTCCTGCCCTAATAACAGTACTGATGTATATAAAATATTTCTCAAAGCCAAGGATATGGTATTGGCCCAAATGCAAGGTTCTTTTTCTAAGAATCTTAGAAAAACATCCTTTCCTTCTCTTCACGTGGGAGTTTCTTTTATGGAAGGACTGAACTGTCCTTATGATGAAGAATTAATAACTAGCTGACAGTTTATAACTAAGAGATAATTGTGTAGCACAAGTTCTAAAGGCAAAGACATGCTCTAACCCTCACTTGTTTTAACCTTACTTTTGGAGACTGAATCCATCCTGTCAGGAAAGAGAAAACTAGTCTCTACTTTGAGCACTGAAACTAAATTTCCAACCTGACTGAAGTTTTCAACCTGAGTCTAGTGGATGTGAATCATAGATGGTTTCAGAAGGTCTTTGAAATCCTGGAAATTATATTTAAAGCCATGTGAATGTGCTGGTTTTCACTGGGTCCATAGATTTCATTAGTTTGTCTTGAATCTCTTCCTTAGACAAAGTGTGTTATCCCAAAATTATTATATGGGAGCTAAAAACCTGAGTATTT